ATGTTGTGAATGTATCATTTTTTTCATGAAAGCATATTTAGAAATTAATGTTATTAAATATGATTTTTTTCAGATTTTCTTTGAAATCTGGGTTAGTTGAACAAATATTCACTGAATTGATATGTTGTTATTGCTTTACTATGGAGATTTTAATTTGAAACTAGGTCTTACCTTCTACAGCTAATTTTCCAGTAAGGTGGTGTGTTTATGCAGTATTTATAATCACACCATAGCTGAAAAATTAAGTCGTTTATAACATCAGTTGTGAAATTATTTGCGTAAGTAAAAAGGCCAAAAAAGCTACACGGTTAGTTTTGCAGCCTGAATTAAAGATGGACTTTACTTTTATTGCATAGACACTCCTGACTTTGCAGATAGACACTTACCATTCAAAATGAATAATCAACCATTTAGTATCCATTATGGTAGAGCAATGATATTATTGAGTATGTCATCATAATCTGGGGGTGGTAATTGCTTTGACTACAGTTTGCTGATAATACACTGTACATTTGCTCATTCTTAAGAGTTGAGCTTTACTTATACAGATTATTATTTTTGTCTCAAAAAGTTTACTTAAGCCATTGGACAGTTTAATAAGTCTTCTACTACAGTTGGATACATTAAAACTCACGTCATAAGCAAATTGAAAAAAACAGCAACACTGTTTTATAACTATTTATGGTGTGGGGGGGGGGGGGGGCATGCAGAGAACTTGCAAATAAATTTAATCTATAACTTATATAAACTCTAATTGCCGACCTGTTTGTACTGTGCATTATAAAGTCTGGCATGTCGCTGGACAAGCTGTCAATGTGTGTGTATACCTGCCTCTGCATGCCGAGCAGTGCAGCCGTACACTGTGAGGAGACTCTATGGCTCATTTAGCTCTGCTTTTCACTCTGACTGTATAAAAGAATCAACCCCAGCTTGAATATATTATCACCTGTTTCAAGTGTGCCAGGCCTGCAGAATGAACACCTTATTTTTGTTAACCCTTTCCCTGCCTCTCTGCTGGCTGCCATTCCATTTCCTGACTATTACCACAAGTAAATGTTTTCCTCGCCCTCTTAAATGAGTAATTTTTGGTTTCTAACTTGTCTCTAACCTTTTCCTGCCCCCCTTTGTTTGGCTTTTGTTTTGAAACAGCTGTTATCATGGATTTCTTTTTTTTCCTTTTTTTTTTTTTTTGGTCAGCTGTGATTGCTCCGGGCAAAACAGGAGCAGATGGTGTTTTGCTATGCATGAATGGAGCGTTAGAGGAGTTGGACTGAATAGGCCAAGTTTTGAATGGTGTCTACACAGCACCTGCCTCTTGTAGCAGCAGGGACATCCTAGTGGCATGATCTGTCTTGGCTTGGCTGCCGTGGTGAGGGATGAAAGAAAGAAACAGAGGGGGGAACCTCATTGGGTACCGTCCATATTTATTGATTTTCCTGCAAGTCGTGGCATAATGTGGTGTACAGTCAGTTTGAGTTAATTGGATGTGACACAGCATGCACTTGTAATCTATCACTCTGCTCTCCTGGTACACTTTATCAGTTTTGTTGCCATAGAAACGTGTTGGCTATATTAACAGGCTAAGTAAGTTGCAATAAAAAGCAGTTTTAGAGCTGGGATCCTCTGCTGAACACAAAGCCTATAAAATACTGATTAAATAAATGGGAGAGTGGTGAAGGGAGGGGGCTGGATTTTAACATTCCTAAACCAAACAAGTCCAAATAAAAAGAGACTGCGATCGTTTCCGTGCTACGCAGGGACATCTGTCAACCTCTGGGGCATGATGATCTGTCACAATAAAGTAAAGCTTTCTCAAATCACTGACAGCTTGCTCTGCTTCTTTTTTTTTTTTTAAGTGCGACTGTATAACTCAACAGAGAATAAATGCTCCAGATGCTTTTTGTCCTCTAAATACTGACAATGCACAAACACACTGCGAACCACAACTAATCTGAAAGAAACCAGCTCCACGTACACTCACTGATGTTATTGTGAGGGCAATGACTGCTTCAAATAAACACTTTTTCTTTGGGCTTTCATGTTTATTCTGTGACCTTTCTAACGTTGACAGCAGAGTGATGTCGGCCGGCTTATCTGCTCTCTTCAAGCTTGTGCACAACTGCACAACACAGTCAAATATATATATATATATATATATATATAATAAAGACATTGGTATTGGCATGAAAAATCCTATTATTTCAGCTGGTGATTGCAAATGCCTCCTGGTGTTTATAAAATGACCATAGGGCACATAGTGTGGATGCAATTACTTTGTGGTCTCATATTAGATATAGCCCCTTTTTACTGTACTGAATGTGTTAAAAATACAAATGTCTTGTTTAAACAATAAGCAACAGATTATTTCAATGATTATGAGTAAATCCTGTTAATCCTTTACAAGAAATAGGATTTGTAATAATTTACAGCCACAACATAGCTCTCTGCAATGTGTAATATATTTAACAGCATATCAATCCTTGCTGTACTGTTTTTTTTTTCTGTCCAATAAAAAAGCAAGATTGAGAGTTGTGATAGTGTGGCAATGCAGAGTCTGACTGAGGTCAAAGACTGGCAGAGAGAGAGAGAGAGCAGACTTACAATAACAGAATAGAACAAAAGAGGGGGGCTAAGCCTAATGGATGAATCACTGCATCACCAAGGCAACATCATCGCTTAGAGATCTAACGATTGAGAAAGGTGTGTGTGTGTGTGTGTGTGTGTGTGTGTGTGTGTGTGTGTGTGTGTGTGTGTGTGTGTGTGTGTGTGTGTGTGTGTGTGTGTGTGTTCATGTTGTCTGTGGATGCATGTGGCTGTTAAGTGTGAGCAGAGAAGGAACAAGAGTGCAAATGTGATTATTTGTGCTTGGATTTGTTCTTTTCTGCCGAGTTGCACATTTGTGTTTATTAGCATCCCTGATGATTTGTAAAAATGAGCTACAACTTTCTTTTAATTGATTGGAATGAATGTGTTCGATAACAGGTTGGATTAATGGGGAGATAGCTTCAAACTTTATGATATAGGTAAGTTTATCAGAAACATTCAATGAGGTTATCAGATCTCTGTACCCCCCCCCCCCCTTCTTAATTTACCATCAATGTTGCTCTGAGGAATCATCTAAGGTCCTACTTAAGTCATGCAGGTCAAAAGTTCCCTAAAAAAACCCTTACCATTGGTCAGGGAATGTCAACAGTGCAGCCAGCCAACAGAGCAGCCCCGCAGCCTCAAACAAACATCACCATTCATCTCAGAGGTCAATAGTTCTCTCTGCAACGTAAACCACGGCAAGGTCAAGAATTCCTTAAACGTAGTCAGCCATTTGACTAGAGGCCGAGTTCCTGCTTGTAAGAAAAGGGGCTTGGCATTGGACTTGTAGGGTCAGCTGTCTCAGTGCGTCCCTGAAGCCAGTCTAACAGGAAAAGAGGCTTCTTCTTTTTTGTCCAAGGAGAAAAAAAAGTTTGGTGTTAGAGCCGAGTGGCTGGTCCCACATCTGCCCCCCAAATCTGGCCCTGTGCAATTGGCTGCAGCGTGGGTCTGATGGTCAGATGGTCAGTGTCAGCAGGCCTTTTGTTATGCTCACATTGTATCTGTGCGATGAACGGGAAAACAACAAAAGAGCCAAATAAATAATTAAAATACAGAATCCCTCGGCTTCCACATCTGACTCCTTAGTCATTGTTGGCACCGAGCCTCGCGACTGACCTCAGCGAGGAGGAGGAGGAGACAATTAGGTCACCTCGTGATTGCATTACACAAATGACATATTAATGTCATAGTGCCCTTCATGCATGTCATCAATGTTGGTTAATGATGAAGAGCAGCATGGGTGATATTGATTGCTTCATGCTTCTGTGATCATATCTTATTGCACTCTCAAAATACATTTAGCTTGCAGGGACATCAGAAAAAATAAGCAGGAAAAAAAAGCAGGTGAATCAAATTTTTTTCTGTTATTTAAATGTAACCAATCCCCATTATTAGAGGAGCGGTGTATTATCCTGGTAAATTATGTCCATGTGTGTATAGCAGTGTTTTGAAAATATCTGTAACCTTTTTATTGCAGAGTCCCATAACTCCAACCCTGGCTGTGAGATATTTGTACACACAGTGACCGCAGTACTGAGGGGTTATGGAATAACAAGGAGCCCCATGCATTATTAATGGGCTGCTGTGAATCTGTTCAGAATAATAACAGCGATTTCCCAGCGCCTCATTACTGTGTGTTTTTAAAGCATGTGTTTGGTATCCATGGACACCCTCTCTCACATTCTCCTCTTCTTCCGCCCTGTGTTAACATTCAGGTCATGCGCGCCACTTGCTGTTTTTAATTTTCGTTTCATCATAAGCACTTTAAGACTTGCCAGCGCTTATTTGCAGTTTTGCTGCAGACCTCTTCACTCGGGGCTTCTGACAGGACAGATGCTGCAATTAATCACGGCAGAGAAATGGGCATCATTTCCACTCAGAGCTGCAGCAGCAGCAGCCTCGGACCCAAATTACAAATGCTTTCCTAAAACTGTCTAATTGAAAACAAACTGCAATTTGAAAATTATATCACGCCGCTATCACAGAAAGAACAGGAGCAGATTTCCTAATTTGTGACTAACATTAGCTCATGTTTAGAATGTCTCAGCTGCCTTTGGAAAAAAAAGAAAGAAAAGGCCCTTCCCTGGGCCGCTGCATTCACGGGCTATTGTGAAGATATGATAATTATTGTTTGCCTGCCTTCCCTCCCCCGCTCTCCATATTATTCAAGGGAGCTCAGCAAACCCCCCTGGGGATGTCTTGGAAATAAAGCGATTTTGAAGCAAGTAAGAAAGAGGCAAAATCCAATGCACTGGTGTGTGAGAAGGGGACTGTTATTGAGACAAGTACCAGTTACATGCTGACCTTGTCCAGTATCAACTGTTTGTACAGTTACAATGGAACATTCACAGGGAGATGAGATCAGAAATTATGCCTAAAATAAGCTTTGAAATAAACAAATTCCTACAAATAAATACTTGTGATTGATAGTTTAATTTTAAACAGAGACACAAAGAAATATATAATACTTCATACAAAATTATGGCTGCTATCATATTAGTGATGGAATGTCTCTGGATTCTTCTTCATGGCCGAGCAAAACCTCAAACATTAAATTACTTTTCCTATTGTGAGCTGAAACAACTTTTCAAGATCTCCATACGTATATGCATTTATTCTATGGACAGATTTAAAGCAGTTGGGTTTGTAAGCAAAAATACAAACAAAATCGCTGCTATTGAAACTCATAAAAAAGTATAAAAGAGCAGAAATGCACTATGTGATATAGCAATCCACAGGTCGTTTAACAATGTTTTAATTAAAGCCTCACATATTAAAACTTTACAACAGGTGATTTGAAAAATGTACAACATTTTCTATTTTTTTCCAGGGACTTCTGTACAGCTGGCGAAAATACCTCTGATGCCTTTTTCAGTTGGCTTTGGCAGTGCAACAAACTGGCTCTGCTAGTGTTCTTTTTTTTTTTTTAAAACAATGACGGTATCAAGGAGCAGAGTAAAAATACATCAATCCCCAAACCATCTGCCTTGATCTGAATATTTGTATTTACCATAAAATATCCCCTTTCTTACACAAAATAAAAACATAATTTAATTGTTAAACATCTGAAGAGAAAACAAATACATTAAAGAAGGTTTTTTTGTGGGGGATTACACACTTTTGGACAAATCCTCTGGAAGGTTGATTATGATTACTGAATAAAGGAGGTTTCATCTCGCCCCCACTCTACAAAAACATGTACAGCAGATTATAGCTACAGTTTGATGGTGAGATGTGATGACATAAATGAATTATGGCAGGTCTGTCTCTGTCTGTTCAGTCATTTTCTTTCCCCTTATTCTTCTAGAGATAGTCTGCATTTGTGACATGGTTTAAATGTGTCCAAATATCACTGAGGCTCCACCATGTGATGATTTGATCAATCATTTCCTCCACCCCATTGTTGAACATTTCAATCGTAGAGAACAAAATGGTGAAGGATAAAGGTTGGAGAAAAGAAAGCCTTGCTATATACTGGCCACTGTGGGGACAAAGATGGATGTGTGGGTTTCTGGTTTCCAGCAAAAAAATCCTGTGAGTCATTCAGTCCAGGAGAGAGCTGATAGAAATCATTTTGTTGAAACGTTTTCAATATGTCCTTTTGCCGCACTGAACTGACAAACTCAGGCCTCATAAATAAAGCTTTATTGTTAAATAAAACAGAGAAAGACACACGTCTTTCAGCATAATGTGTGCCCAGTCAGTTTAAATTAACAACTGAAAAGACCTCACAAATAAACAACTACTGGGCGCTTATTCTACTGGGCGTCTGACATAGCTAATCCCATGGCAGAGAACAGTTTACATGTTTATCCCCTGTACACACATGTGCATATCCGTCTATAACAATGGACAAGTTCTTTGTATAACATTCTAAATCTTACACACTTCTTAAGTGCAACTTAGAAAAGCAACATGGTATGATGCTTTTTTTTCCATTCCTGTTCTTTGAGATAGGATTTCCATTTGGCTCAGTAAATGCTGACCTGGGACAGGACCTGGGCGTGGGCCTGGATTTGGGAGGGGTGGGGTTGCTGCTGTTGGGCTGGCTGGGGGCTGCCTAGGGATGAAGAGCCCCCTACTGAATGTGGAGTACCAGGAGAGTGCTGCGGTGGGGAACACTGGGACTGGTGCTGCTGTTGTTGCTGCTGCTGCTGCTGCTGCTGCTGCTGGAGATGTTGAATCTGCTGCTGATGCATCTGATGCTGCAACTGCATGTGCTGCAGCTGCATGTGCTGCTGCTGCTGCTGTTGTTGTTGCTGCTGCTGCTGTTGTTGTTGTTGTTGTTGTTGTTGTTGTTGCTGCTGCTGCTGCTGCTGCTGCTGTTGCTGCTGCTGCATGTGGTGCTGCTGCAGCTGTTGCTGGAGGTGGTGTTGAAAATGCTGATGCTGCATCTGCTGCTGGATCTGCTGGTGATGCATCTGCTGCTGCTGCATCTGATGATGCTGGAGGTGCTGCTGCATCTGCTGTTGCTGCTGGAGCTGCTGCATGGCATGCTGCTGCACCGGTTGCATGGGCGGGCTCATCTGAGACACGGCTGTGGACTGTGCACCAGCCACCATGGCCCCTCCGGCACCCATCTGGCCCAGCATCTGCGGCGGCATCCCAGGGGACATGTTCTGGTGGGACACTGTAACCGAGGTCACGATCTGATTGCCTCCTAGTCTCATCTGCAAAGGTTTGGGGGCGATTGCCCGTGGTAGGGCTTGTTGGAGGGCCTGAGAAGCCGCTGACATGGAGGGGTGCTGGTTGAGGGGTGAAGGCAGTACCAGGCCTGGGGACAGGCTGGTGGACGCCAGTGTCTGCTGTACTGAGCGGATGGTCTGGGCCTCAGCTGATTCTGCAGCAGCCTGGATGGAGAAAAAAAAAGGATCAAAATTTATCTACAAGCATACTATAAAATGTATAGACCTGAAATTGCTTCAGTTAAAATGTAGTACAAGGAATTCTGAGAAATGTATTCCCTTTTACTTTTAAGTTCAGACATTTTTCAGGTGATAAGAAGAAAGAGTTTCTCACCTTAGAAACCAGGCTTGCACGGTACGCAGCAAGGGCTTTTAAATATTCCTTCTTTGCCGCTTCTGTTTTGCTTTTGTAAACCTGCGATGACACAAAGATATGTGTGAATGGATAAATGAATAAAGCTTGTTTTTAGTTAAGAATTAAACCTTAGGTAATATAGTGTACTTTTCACATTTTGATCTACATTTATCCAGTCAGTGAACTGCTCCAGAATTTTTATTTGTTTGAATAGTGTAACTGTACAGTACCTGCTTCTGCTCCTCTCCCAGACCATCCCACATGGAGGCAACAATCTTGGACACCTCTCCAAATGTGGCGTTGGGATTCTGCCCCTTAATAGCTGCCTGGGTGTCCCTGAAGAACAGGGCATATGCTGAGACTGGCTTCTGAGGCTCATTGGGATCCTTCTTCTTCTTCTTCTTAGGAGTCTTGGGCTTCTTTGCGGGATCTATGGGGGCTGGTCGCTTCTCTCCAATGACCTGTAATAATCGATAAAAATACATTCACATTATCTGCATAATTCATTATTATTCCCATCTAATGCAGTCATCCAATGCTTCTTTGCTCACCCTGTTTCCATCATCCTGGTCGTCCTCGTTGATGGAGCTGGAGGGAGACGGGGTGGCTGACTTGCTGGCAGGGGGTGATGGGGAAGTATGGTTGATGTTGGGTCCAGCCATGTTTAGACTCAGCTGTGTGTTGAGTTGGGATTGGTTGATGGTGGTCAACTGGTTCCTTGGTATCATCCCATTGGGGCTGTTCATGCTGATGATGGATTTCATCACCATGGCAGGGTTGGGTGGGTACTGGCGATGATGGCCTGGTCCAACATTCTGTAAACACATCAATTGAAGTGGGATTGATAAGAAAGTAATAATCAATGGTAATATTTTACTGACCCCTTTGCTTTCATGCTGCTATTGATGTTCTAGCTGTCCCCTCATTCCTCCAGCTCAAATATATTTGTCCTCACTGTGACATCTTACTGCCCAGTGTACAAAGCTCATAAAGCTGTATCTCTTTACCAGAGAGGAAATCGGGTCACTGGTTCCTCTGGATTGTTATGAAGCAGATAGCATGTCACAATGTCCGAGGTCTTAAATGTCCCTATTACAGACCATGACAAATTATCTTGACACGCGAGTAGTCAACTTTATAAGCCAGTAATAGAGGGCTACACAGCTCAGTTGATTCATTTCAAAACTCTATTGTATGGAAATCTGTGACACTGCCTTTGACTGACCAGTCCCTTGAGGGAAACAGTGGATCCCTGCACTGTAGTATATGACTTCAAATGCTACAATATAGACTGTTCGAGTTGCAGCTTGAATGCATTGACATATATGTCACAATTGTTTGAGGCGCTTTAAAGCCTATACGTTTTAAAGTAACATAAATCTAAGCTTATAACTCTGAAGTAGAAGCTGTTCATAGATTCTGTTTGACTGCCAAACAGTGCAAAAAAAAAAGCCGCGTCGTAAGAGTTTTGGTGGTTGTCTTCAATACTATTTATAAAAAATAATAACTAGTGTTGTTGTTGTTGTTGGTATTATGTGTAAGGCTACACAAAGCTATAGTAAACCCTGAATTGCATTGTGCTGGCTTCACATAAAAACAGGAAGCAGCAACCATTGTAAGGTTTCAAATGAAACATTTTAAACTGTTCAGTCTTAATGTCTTCAAAGTGAGATTTTGCGAGTCGTGAATTTTTTCTTGATTGGTGACATGGATTGGTGCTGTCAGTCTGAAATCCGATGTTTAAATACTGATACTGATATTAGATCAGATCTGTCCCATCTCTTTTTTTTTTTAATCCACAGCAAAGCAAGTCCAAGTAGGATAAATGGTACCAGAACATCTATTCTATACAATCAACTTCATAAATCAACTACCTGATGGTATGAAGCTTAAGAGCTTTGAACAGGCTCTCTCTCTTCTACCTTTCAAGGGTTTCGAGTAATAACATTTTCAGAATCTCTTTCACGTTTTTTTCCTGCTAAAACATTTTGTTCTTGAAAGAGTCTCTGAGAAGGTGTCGGCAACATGTTTGCATTGATTGTGGTGAGAATGAAATTACAAGGACTGCCAGTTCCCCAGAGGGAAGACTGATCAGAGAGGCAGCAGAGCTGACATGGAACAGAAACACAACAGAAAAGGTGATTTGTTCTCCCTGGGTACATCCATCTGGTATTCAGCAGCACAAACCCAATCTCTCCCAACATCAACACATCATAAACCCACACACCTGGCTTTATTGAAAGAACCTTATAAATGTGGCTCTTCAAAAACAATATTGTAACACCATTTCAGACAGAAACATATTGGATCTACAATCCATTTCTCTCTCATATAGCATGTCTGCTGCTTATCATAAATACAATCTCTGAAGTGAGAGTGGATTTATATTTACATGTGCAAGGAAGATTTCTGGGAGAGGTGAGGCAAGGGTGGGGGGGAGGGGAATTGAAAACATATTGTTGTGATTTCTCAAATATGGTAGCTTTCACTTTCTCTCAAATAAAAGCTGCAATAAACAAGCCTGCGACCAAAATGACCATGATTTACATATCTGCAACCCGCATCCTTCCAAGTGCTATTGTCATCTTCATTACTGGGAACACGATGGCTCGCAGTTTGCTCTCTGCGAACATCAAAGACACACACACACTGAGCTCATTAGTCGTAGCCATCTGTATAAGAACACTTTTGGATGATTCCAATGATGCAGTTTTGACTTGGAGCAATGGTCCATTCTGCCATTTGTCTGGAAAATGGTGATGTCTACTGAATGGCCTTTGCATGTTGAGTAATTCTAGACAAAATATGCACTGATGACCACAGCTTTTCACTTCATTATATCAATTGTATCTTCATAGGAGGCGTCTTAGCATAGCACATATTATAACAATAACTGGAGCAGCAGCATTATTGGCTTTTTACTTGATGCAACAAAAGAGCGTTGACAGTTACAGTGAAATGCTCTCATAAGCACGTCTGATTTGAATAAAAAGATAACAGCTGGAAGGGCTAGTGAAAGAAATCATCTAAAGTAACAGTTCCCTTGATTGTGAATATGAAGACAAGGATGTTTATTTATGTCCCTCTGCTGTCTCATTTGCATTTTGATTGCAGTATTGTCAGCAGTCACAGCAGACATCTAACTGGATATTTCGATAGTCATCGTAAATCTGCAAATAAGTCCTTATCTTGAGTACACAGTGGCCAGATGTGTCCTCCTCAGGTGTGTGTGTGTGTAGGTGTGCTGTCCATCTGTGTGTTTGATGGTTAAATCCTAACGAGCAAAAATCAAATCTGAATCAATAAAAGATGTTCTTCTTGTTTATTTATCGTTTTCACATATATCACATTGTGTTGCTTTTATTGGGAAATGCAATAAGGCTTATAGAAACATAATGCTGTCAAAAAAATGCTGCCAAAAAAGATTTTGTTTTGCACATTTTGTTGTCCTCCTTTACACAGCAAACACTCCACACACAGCCACATGAAATGTGCTGACAGAAAGAAACACTAACTGACAACGTGTGAAACCTTTCCACAATAAAACACAGGCCAATAAACACAGCAGCTGGACTCCGAAATACAACATTATGCATTCACAGAGTGATACACATCAACACTGTTGTGAATGAAAGCAGGCTCCAGTCTGCTCTTAAAGATATTATAAATCAGAATTGGTGGAGAATGTATGAACACTGGCACCATGTACTGAGCTGTAACAGGCTGAAAATAATGTTAACAAGTTCAATTTCCATTCAATCAATGCCAGAGCTCTTGGAAATGTTCCATGGCAGAAGAGGGGTAAAATCATCTATATGGTAATTATAAGGATGAATCCCCCAGTAACTTTCGCCAGCATGAAAGGTCAGTCCTATTAAAGATAGTTTATCAGCGCACTGCACATATTCCTTTACTCCCCTTCTAAACGGGTACATCATTTTATTTTTTCCCCCTCCATTTTCGTCAACCTGCAGAAGTCTGTGCTTAAGCCAAATGAGAAAAATGGAATTTTGAATGCCAGTAAAGGCTATAATAGCATGAAGATAAATTGTTTTTCTTTCCCCCGCCCTGTCTCAGTCAGACACACTCCTCTGTCTCTTTCTGTGCTGCAGACTCAGTCTATCTCCCCAACCTCTCAACCCCACTTTAAAACACCCCCCCCCCCCTCCTTAGAATATGAGGGTAGTGTGCCCCCCCATCCCAACCCCCCTGTCCAGTACTTCCACTGACCCATACCCCCTTTCACCATTCCTCCTGATGCATTATGGGTATTTAAAACTTGTCCGACATGATATCATTTCATTGTGAGAGCTGCCTGAGAAAAGTAAATTACAGAATCAATCATGCAGAAGGTCAAGCTGAGACTTCATTACAAGTATTGCATGCCTGCATGAATATCTTTCATTTCTGACTGACCAAATATGTCACAATAGCTGTCTGTCGAGGGAGAAAGGGAAAAAAGGAACAGTGCAACGACAAAAAAAAAGAAAATCCACTCTCTTAAATTGATGTACAACTCATGTCAATGCTTCTTGGCTTGGAAGGGAGATAAGAGGGAAATGTAGAAAAACACACTTTCAGCAACACTGCTCACATTTTCCATTTGATTCAGGATACAGAAGGTTTTGACCGGTCAAAACTGAGAGTATTATACTCACTGACAATCTACACAACATCAAGGCTTATCAAATCATGTGAACAACTATCTATAAGTGGCTTGTTCAGCCTCTCTTTCAGCTTGAGAGATGACACATTAGCATGTCTTTGCTGCTGGTAAAGCTAATCGGAACTGGTTGATGATGAAGAATATATAATGCGTCACCACATAGAGCTAAATGTAATAAGACTGCAGGTCTCATATCTCATAAATACTGATTTTAACATCTAATACAACTACTTGACTGCTGTGGGTTTCGAATCCAATCATTGAGGACATTTCAGTGCATGCTTACATGTGTCAAGAAAACCCTCAAAACGTGTCGAAGGCACCAGGTGTTTTTGAAATGGAACCCAGAGACCCTCGCTGTGCAGCGAGAGAGAAATTGTGAATAAAGCAATACTGGCAGCCCTAACTCCACTACTATTTGGCACTATTGAGATTCAATCACAAATCAGGAGGACACATGCTGGGAGACAAAAATGAGAGTCAGAAGCTTGTTAGGAGAGCAGATTAAATAAATAATGACTTCAGATTCAGGGCTTGCCAGGCACACTGCAGCTGAGAAAATGTATTTCTCTTTGTAGAAAGTCAGCATCTGTGGCCAATTTGCGAGACATACGCTGAACATTACAGGGAGAGGAATTAGCAGAATACTTGGCAATGGGATGACATGGAAGAAGCTTTTGAAAATAGCCCAGGTTTATTCACTGGTTGGCTTTCTCATTAAGTTCTGATAAGAGACACACACTAAATATTCTCCAGCAGTAAGCTAGTACACAGAAAGAAAACCAAGATGAGTGTTTGGGAAATGCGAGCATGCTGTCTTGATGAAAAATGTAATTGCAATAGTGCATGGTTTATTTGTTTGCCCCTGCAGCCATAACAAATAACACAGAATGTAATCATGTATATAAGGTTGTCATTCCTTTATCAGTGTGCTGACAAAATGACAAAACACCCCTCTTAGGGCCTTCGTAAATCATTGTCTCTGTGTATAGACACACTGCGAACCTTGCTGTTACTTATCTCATTTAAAAGTTGCGTCCTCTTTTCAAGACAAAGATAAAACCACAGATGAATAGGATTTCTATAGGCACAAGACTTTTGGGGATCAATCCCATTTGCAGGAGAAATGAAGGGCCACCGCGAGCCTTCCTGCAGTACAATGTGTGATGACTGATAACTGTGAGTAGTGTGCCCAACGACAATGCCACGAGGCAAGGAGCAGAAACCCACATGCTCGCCTCAGTTTTTAATAGAGTCTCTGTACAATCAGAGACATGAGCCATGCAAATGGTGTTAAAGAGGAATAATGTTTGAGAATCAAATCTAATCCTCCAGCAAGTCGTGAGAACAGTCAGGAATGTAATTGTGTCAAGGCTCCGTTTCTTCCAGATGTAGAAAGCTTAACTGACCATGAAATGAAAATTCTTTAGGCAAAAGCCTTCTGGGGCTCACTTACTGTATGAAGCAGAAAGATCTTTTAAAAGCTGCAATTATTTTACATGCCAAAAGCATGGAGGCAGGAAAAAAAAAGGGGGTATAAAATGTTATAGCTCCTACCCATATGGAATGTAAATAAATATCTCCAGTATCAGTGTGATTCAACAAAATGTGTTAAGAGAGAAGGAGGGGGAAAGCAGGGGGTCTTAAACGCTTTAATTCACAGTTATAATGATCATGGCACTTTTCCTCAATGCAATGTGTTTTGTGGTTTCCGAAGAAAATCGAGCATCATCATCATCTCTCTGCTTTTTTTTTTCTCTTCTAAATTAATCTTCCATTTTTGTAATAGGACTCTACGATAACTAGTCAGCCGCTGACATTTCCATTTCTCCTCCTCAATGCTTCTATGATGGTGGCATTTGAAAATGTCTCTCCACTCCAAGACAACAATCTCACAACCTATAGCACAAAACAGCCTCAACATAAAAAAGAGGTGATTTTTTTTCCATTTACTTTTCCATGTTTGGCCAATTTCATCCAAAGATGGGAAGAATAATGTTCACCCTGACTTTTTTTTAGGGTCATTGTCAACTAAACAAAAATGAATCTGATCCTTCACTTCAAACAAAGCATGTGTCAAAGAAAGTCTTTTCTGAGGACCTCGAGTGACATTGGACGGAAGCATGCATCAGCATTTACAGCAGCACAAAAAAAAGCTTCTGGAGGTAGCATGAATTAAATATGAGCATGTGAAACTGTGGCACTTTTGGATCCCATTTTCCTTGTCCTTCTGGGGCTGAATACACTTTGTACTCCTAAAACCTGTGATCTTTTCACATCTGCTCACCTTACAGGGGGGGGGGGGATCACCTGCCCTCTGTGTTCTTAAAAAAATATCCTCACAGTAAGTAACATAATATCATGACATTTACCCAATGTGATCATATACCTCCTGTGTTGTAAACAAGACCAGATGCTGCACCAGATGCACTGACAACAGGAAGCGTACAGAAACTGTGAAGGTGACATTAGGGATCAGTTAAAAGGGCTCATTTAGACACTGCTTGATTCTGATATCAGGGGCCTTTAATATTAACCATTTATGTTCTGATAAACTTTTTCTATTACAGAGAAGTAGCACTAGGGATGTGCAAGATTAGTCAACAAAACAAAATTCACCCTTGCTATTCGGCACCAGATTCGGCAAGTAGCTTAGACCAATTATTAATAATTGTATTAGCGTAGGCCCACAATGCTGGTCAAATGGTGTGTCAAGGGACGCCAGTGGCCTGGCAGTTAGCATGCGTGCCTAATGTACAGAGGTCCTCGACATGTCATTCCCCAATCACTCTGTACTCGATTTCCAACTCTATCTACTGTCCCGTCTGTACAATAAAAGGCATGAAAGCCCCAAAATAAATCTTAAAAAAAGAAAAAATGTTGCGTCAAAGCTGTAATGTAGCTACCCGCCACTAGCTGGGGCTGTAGCTCCTGTTAATCTGTGTAATCATTACCAGTGATATTAGTCACTGGGAACTTCCCTAGCCAACACCACACTGTTTCCCTAACATACAATTTGTTTTACCCATATTAAAATCACCAACTATAAACTAGCGGGCAAACTCTCCCCTCTCACTGCCTTGCACCTGATAAGCTGCAGCACCTGACACATGCAATGCAGGTGATCAGAGATAGAGAGAGATGTCTTTTGTAGATCTAGGACCCTCCTCTCAATGCATCAATTTGTGAAATATTAACTTTCTCATACTGCTGTTTTTATAATGTTGTCCATGTTGTATTTCTTGGAGTTGCAAATGACAATAATAGTTCTCTACTGGATGAAAGTAAGACTTCTTGATGTGCCAGTGTCGTATATGAATAGAGATGCTCACCACAGGTTGGCCACTGTTGACAGACAACCCTCCCTGGTCCATCATGTTGCGTGAGATGGTAATAGAGGGCAGATCCAGGCTCTGAGGGGGGAACTGAGGGATTAAGGGGCCCCTGTGTGGAGCTGGGGGAACTTGCATTGCGTGGAAAGGTGAGTTCCCTTCCGATAGGCCCAGAACAGACTCCGTCTCAGGTGGAGGTGTAATTGGGGGGATCTCAAACTCCTCATCTCCCAAGCTGGGCGTATGAAAAGTCTGCAGAGAAGGAGGAAGGAAGGAAGGAAGGAAGGAAGGAAGAGGAAAATCATCAATTCCAGCAACACAAAACAGCCAGTAAGCATTTACTGAGGTGGGTCTTATCTAACATGCCGGAAGGAAACCTTCAGGGATTAAATCAGACAACTTTGTTAAAAAAAGGGAGTGTTTTAGTCGAGTGGTAATACACTTGTCTGTAAGTGCACTAAGATGTAACATTTCCTAAACCTATTAAAGTCCACTTTGAGAAAGAAGAAGAAGGAATAAAGCAAGAGCAGAGAAACTTGTCAAAAGCAAAAATATCAAGCAGCAATCACGAGAGAGAGAGGGAATACACGATAAAAGCCCTTAATCTTGAGGATGGAAGATGTTGGGTTGAAGTGCAGTGAAAATACACGTCACAGGGAGATGGTTTTAAAGAACATTTTAAAAGATTATTACGCTTGGCCAGAAGTGTTTCTTTTTGTTCCCCTTGCCTGCACCCTTAAATCTGCTCATCAAACAGCCTAATCCGTCTGCCTTTTGAATTAAAGCTTTTGGTCACACTTAATTTGCTTATGTGCCTTCTTGGAGATGGGACTGTTCACCTACTTGAGTCTTGTTTTCATCTGCACATTGCATTAAGCTTCTTTCTGGAAAGCCAGCATATTCATATCCTCACAATGACCACACTGCGGGTCCACAAACATGCAGCTGAACACAGGGCCAAACAGCATGCTGTCTGAGGAGTTGGGCTCTGCTGCTGCTAAGTTACTAAAACCTCTTCAAAGCATGGGCCTCCTGCTAAAAGTGACATGATTTTACCTCTTAGCACTTGGCATACATCATGGAAGCATATTGGTATAACGGTAAAAGCAGGTTAAGCTGCCAGTATTATTGGCTGTGTTGAACAGTATGTGGAATAAGATACTGTGAACTATAAAATCTCTTCAGTGCTTCAGGTTGATCTCAAAAACGTCTTTCATGGCCTTTTGGTTCCTTATACAGCACTATTTAAATCCTGCATGACCTCATCATCTACTATAGTTCATATTATAGGAAATCCTGGCAGAAGGAAAACAACCAACTTGGGGTCAAAAGGAAGTAAATCAGCATTTATACCAATTCCAACAGGCTAAATATAGTCTCCCACGGGCTGGTTTCACCTTTTCAAATATACATGCATTTATATTTCAACAGGACTGGAAGTCCTTGAGATGACCATGCCTCCTTCTTTTTTCATACACCTGGCTTGTTTAAGAGTATAGCTGTTTTTTCTCACACTCTTAACAAAATGTGACATGAATTTAGTCCCATATGAAGCACCTTCATCATTTTTCTTGTCCAATAAGATTCAAACTATAGGTGGATGTCTCCTTTTCTTTTTCTTCTTTTGAATTTATTTTATGTTTAAATAACATGACAGCACATATTATGAGAACATTATGAATTTTTAAGAAATCCTGCAGCTAGATATTAGTGGTTGACAGAATTTATTAGCAGAGATTAACCTTAACTTACCTAAAATGTATGAACCTGATCTTGACAGTTGTGTTGCCTGTGAGCAAAGTGAACTATGGCCAACAACAAAGCCAACAAAGCTAACCAGGGATGTCTTCAGTCTTTTCTTTGTCTTTTGAGCATTGAATGGAAACAACAGAGGGAATATGCCAACACAGCCCTTGATTAGGGAGTATTAATGTTCCCCTTGCTTGCTTTAGCACACAGACACTTGAAACTAATTCATTGCCTACTCAGGGCAGCTGTCTTGACAAGCACTGATGAATTCCAGTGGCATAGGCAGCTAATAGAGTTCTCTTTCCTCCCTTTTCCTTTCCCCCTTCCTGCTCCCTACCACTGTTTCACTTTTCAGTGCTTGTTTCACAGCTAGAGAATCAGCTCTCCTTTTAAAAAGAGCGAAGGTCATATTCCTCACAGCTCTGGCCTCTGGCTTGCAGAGTGCAGAATAAATCACCAGCACCTTCAGTAGAAACCATTCACTCCGAGTCCTCTGCTGTCATATTATGCTTTAGTCCACTCAAAAAGCCCCCAGAACTTAGTTCACAATATTGCCTGTTCAGCAGCATGTGAATCAAAACACAGACAGTTTACAAAAAAAGAACAAACAAACTGTCATGAGTCATGGACAAAAAGTTCCAGTGGCACATGGAAAGGATCAGGGATCATTCATCATCACTGTCTTCATTCATCTTTTGTAACATCTCCTGTGCGGCAGGGTCAACCTCCCCACTAGCCTCCAGATCTATAGTCCCCTGTCTCATCTGTGTCATATCATGTAGCAATCTCAAAGCACTGGCACACTACTATAATCTTTCTGACTGAATAACAGCCCTGTGTGGTTCCTGCTTAGTGCAGTTCAGTCAGACAAACTCAACAGGCCTCTTATTAGCTTCCAGTAATGCTTTTGTGGAAATTAAAATTACATTATCTTAAATTGTTTGCTCTTTTTTAACGATGAATATTTCTGCTGAAGTACGTAGGTTTCCTGTGATGTTACATTGCGTAAGGTAAATCAGGGCATATCTACAGTATATAGGCCACTGGATCCTATAGGCTGATGCACTGTGGCCTGAATTACAGCACCATCCTAGACATTTGAGATGACAACACAGAAGGTTGGCTGAGGTGAGATTTTACTTTGTATGAGAGAAAGCACAAGCATGACTTTGACCTTAAAGCAAAAAGCAGACATGTACTTGTGGAAGATGAACACTTGTGTTTAGTTTCTACTCAACAGAACGAGAGAAAAGGATAGAAGAAGAAACAAATTGTTGTGGGGGAGGGATGCTAGCACATGATCAGTATCACAGTCTGTGCTTGTGTGCTTTGCCTCGCTTTGTTAATGATGATACAAATTAACATCTGCACCAGGGGCACTGATAATGGAGACATGGCGTTTGTGTCGGGGGGTGGGGGGGTATGCAAGATGTCAGACCCTCTCCCCAGGGGAAGAAGTGCCAGATCTTTCTGGAACCCACAGAGTGTTACAGTGTTGCACACTGTCTAGTATCATTTCACATAAAGCCAGTCTAATTCTGCACCCAGAGCAGCTTAGGAGGCTCTGATTAGAGATTAAGAGATGCACAATCCACTTTCTTTAAATCACCAACCTGATTATCCATTTAAATTTAAATTGTTCTGAAAAGCTCAACAAAACCAAGTGTCAAAGGCAGATGCTGGCATGTACATGTAAAACTGTTGGTTAAGTGTTTGTCTTTCCATTGGCAGCCACGGGGTCCAGTGGTGTGGGGGCAGAGCAGGGCTTGTTACAGAGAAGTACAGGTACATTTATTTTTTAACACAGTATAACAAATTGTGGTAACACATTAACACAGCTCCAAGGTGACTGGAAGATATTCATTGGTCATTTTTTCCCTTCTGATGTTTCATCCAGTGTGTTTCCCAGTGCTGCCATGACACCCTTTCAATATCAGGACAAAGAGCAAGAAAAAAGGCTTTTCAGGCAATTTTCCCAGGCCTTCAATAAACTTACTAATGCAATTCACAGATGCAATGACCAAGACTTGTTAAAGGCAGCAGCATGCAATTACTGCATATAATAGGCCTCAGAATCAATATGGACAAGATTGAGGATCCAGTTTCAAATATCTCGGCAGCCAGAGTGCAGCTACTCAAATGACAACATCAACCCTGGCAGCCCTCATCAACATTATTTCAACTTTGGATCATTTGTAGTCCATTTCTACATATTTATAGTTCATTATAAGTCTCTAATTTGATTGGGAAAGTAAAGTGATACATCTGAGTGGAACACAATCTCAGTATACAGTATCCTTTTCCCTGAGCGAAGCAGTAAAGCTTTCTCTGCTAGGATGTATGCTTTACCAGGCACACAAGGTCATCTTATCTCATCCTCTAAGTGCATAAGGTAAATGATACATCAGACATCTAAACAGCAAATACAAGTCTGCTGTTCTGATGTTGAAGCATTCTGCCTCCTGTACATCAGGGGCCGTGTTCAATTTCATGTATACATTAAGTGATGCAAAATAGTAGCTGTATATAAACAGGTTTACCTAAAGCTTTCGATTCATTTTTGAAAATGCTAAAAATATATATATATATATATATATATATATATATATATCTGTACCTTGACATAGGAGTGATAACTCTGAAAGCAGTGGCCCAAACAGAATCTCAGATCAAGAAACTGTAATATTGTGTATATTTCCTTCAAACAATAAAATAGAACATTTCATTGTATTTATACAAATGTTTTAGAAACATTACAAGACTTAATGTTTTGATGCTTTGATAAACTTGACCAGTAACTATGGTTGCTAAAGTTAGCTAAAGTAAGCAAACTGTAAATACTTTGTTTTGGCTGTGAAATAACCAGCGGTAATAACCAACAGTGGCAGGTGTTAAAAAGTTACAAAGATTCTTTCACTGAAAAGTAAAGCTTAATGATTGCAAAGAAAAGGCCACAACGTTGTCAATGGATTTTTTCTTTTCAAGCAGTTCTATTTCATCGGGTAAGTTAGCACTGATGCTAGCTTACATACTGTTTAAAAAAACAAAATGGTATATACACATTGATGGTAAAACGAAACCACTTGTCACATTACCTCAAGTGTTTTAACAGGAAAATTGTTTATTATTTAATTCATATTTAATACATTCAAGTATTTTTTTGAGAAAATGCTAACTCTAGCTAGCTTTATAGCATTTCTTGCAGCTCAATCTTTTTTATGAAGGTATATGTGGTTTTGTCTTAAATCTAATCTGTTCTCTCATTTTTAACTTCAGCCATGCAGACAGCTACGCTAGCTTAGCTTGTTGTGATGCATGAATACTGCATGTATTCTCAATGCACATGCACTGTAGTGTCCTTCTAGGTTTGATGATATGCAGTAAGTGTGAAGACTCTCAATGCATGTTTGGTTTCTTTTTTGCAAAAGGACTTGCACTTCAATATTATAATTTTGCACATTGTTAATTCAACAATAAAGATATTATCTTAAACTACACACACACACACACACACACACACACACACACACACACACACACACACACACACACACACACACACACACACACACACACACACACACACACACACACACACACACACACACACACACACACACACACACACACACACACACACACACACACACACACACACACACACACACACACACACACACACACACACACACACACACACACACACACACACACACACACACACACACACACACACACACACACACACACACACACACACACACACACACACACACATTGAACGGTATGAATATGAAAGGGTGTATCTCTTTATGTAACAACCCTGAGGTTTGATTTGAAGACAATAGCTGACCAAATGCGGTGGCATAAACTTACTCTTGCTTTGAAAGTCATCTGTTCATTACAGAGCCTTCATAATAGAGACTTCCTCTCCCACTTTACTCTCAGCCAAGGCAGACACATTAAGAACACTAATGTAGCATTACAGTGGGGATAGTGTAAAACCTCACAACCTTCTAGTATTCTCACTTTAGCTCAGGTTTCAACAAACAATACTGCCCACTCTTCAGCTTGAAAAGAAAGGGCAATGCTTAAGATTTCTTCTCTCTCCTATAAGCACAATACCATCTGTGCCCTAACACTGGAAACAGTTGTTCCTTTTGATAAAATGCAAATTAGCTGGGCTGTGTTCTTTTTTAAGGACCCCCCCCCCTCTGCCTAACCCTAGCCCATCCCCCTTTCCCCTGACTGCCACAGTGGGCCCTCACAGCTGGGGGCTGAACGCTCCCCAAGCAGCTTGTGTCGGCGTGGTCCCCAGCACCCACTGCATACGGAGCATGCGCCCACTAAGTGCAAATGAAGGGGACAATTAAACTTTTCCATAACACCCTGTGAAGCGCCCACTTTATGAACATGAAGTCACACACTCATAACACAAAATGTCACAGTTTCATATGTGATGTGAATGAAAACAATGAGGTTAACAATGACATCTATCTCACAGTTTTGGAGCTCTGTTGAGACGCTTTGCTGTGGGTTTTGAAGCCAGATCAATCTCCCCTGCTAAACAGGATGAGATTGGCCCGTTTGAACCACAGAGGATGACAGGTATTTTTGGTGCACTTGTCTCTAATGACAGGGCAGCGAAGTGGGTGGAGAGGGAATAGAGCGGGTAAATTTAGCACACTGTTAGGACTACTATGGCCTTAGAGAGGCTGTTATATATCTCTGGAGAAACAGCTTTTCCTTTCTTTCTTGTGAATGCATCAGTACAATACACAGATTTATTCCAGCCGCTCCAACAGATTCAGATTGTTGGTGACATTTCACTTTCTTTAAGTGCCAGCATAATGAGTGGCTCTGAGACTGACAGGACTATATGATCTTTTTGGGCTCCTTCATTACGTTTTGGAAAAGAGACAGAAAACAGGTGTTTATATCCTCTGCTTTCTGGGATATCACTTTATCTTACACAGGTTCAGTCAAGAGAGTCAGATCACATCAGCGTCAGCTCCCACAAGTTACCATGAGGCAATATATGGTGAGCGGAGCTCGTCTTTCTCTAAGCTTATTGTCTTTTGTGGGTCTCAAGACAGGCAGTATTTGAGCAGACAGCTTTTTCGAGCAATAAGATGAAGTTACCTATGACAAAGATGGAGAGATTCAAATAGGAATTTATTTTTATGGATGTTTTAGGGCTTTCTAATGTCTTAAATAGGTCGTATGCCTTATAGTATTGGCTGTAAACTGTAGCCAACTTTTCCCAACTACATTTCCTTTAAGATAATCAAGAGCAAATAATTGTTTATTAACTCTTAAATGGCCTCAGTATACATGTCCACCTAAGAGCCTTAATGTAACTCAGATAAAGTTATGATCAGTTAAGAAAATATGAAAAACATCTTCACTCCATTGCGCTTTGCTTGTTTAAAAGGGAATTTTTAAAACAGAAAAAATGAAGTGTACTCACATCTCCAGCAGCGAGCAGGGCACTGTTGGCCTCCGTCATGTTCATGTAGTTGTTGTTATTCTGGAACTGCAAGTGAAAAAGAAAAAAACACAATGAAGCTACTAGTGTCAAGATAACATCCAATGCAACTTGAGCTCTCCCCTTTCATAACGGACACCTGTCACTCAAACCGGCTGCTCTTACACACTTGGCTCTTAATGTTTACACATAGAGTTAACCCTCGTCTCCATGTGCACAAGCGTATTCTGCCACTCTGCCATTATTGTGACACAACAAGAGGCATGCGAGAGGCCCGGGCACATTCAGACCAGGGTAATGAGAATCTGGTCCTGCCTTTCAGCTCTTATGGGATTGCAATTAAGGATATGTTTGCATCACAAAGCCAAGTATCAGGATGCAGTGGCAGGTTATTAACTTTGAATAAACCAAAGGAGAGGAGTGACATGGAGGGGAAATAAGGAAGTGGAGTGTTTTTAATATGGGTTGTGTGCATTTGTAGTTAAAGCTCCTTTGAGGAGATTATAGCTGGTGATGTAATAGACTGAAATTGATACTGATGTCTCTATATGTGCTACAAAAGCAAACAAGACGCTCAGCATCAAGATAGACTTGATTGACTAAACTGCTGCCGTGGGTATGTGTCAGATTGGAATATAAACAACACACTACACTGCAGAAAAAAACTTTAAAAAATCTTTCACAGCTTTTACTCACATTAAAATACAATACAATAATATAATTACTTGTGTACGTATGTACAGGACACAAGAGGTAATGCTGTGTCCACCCAGGGGGCAACAAAATCATTACAAACAAATAGTACCACACAGGAGCTTGAAGTGAGCTGCCTTTTTACAAATGACAAGATACTGACAATTTTAAGGTATTTCGCATGAATCATATTTTAGAGTAACCAGTGGAGACAGTAAGTTTTTCACTGCAGAAACACACTGCTGCCCCATGTTCAGAGGCAGTTGTCCTCGAAGCAGGGGGCCTGAGTTTGACTCGGAACTGCGGCTCCTTTCTCGCATGTCATTCCTCTCTCTCTCTCTCAGGTTTCCATCTCTATTCACTTTGTTATCTGAATACATGCATACAGAGCCCAAAAATAAACCTCACCATTGTTCAAACTGTTGATTAGCTATTAAACCCTATACTTCGGTAAGAAATAACATGTTTTCACAACATACTCCCCCCTGCACCCACGCACCGCCTGCTGGCAAAATGGCATCCACTTCCTTTTCTTTTGAGACACAACCATGCTGACAGGTAGGAACAATGGGACACAGAATGAAGAATTATGGGCTAGCAGCTGGGCCCAGGAGCACAATGCACCTTTCTACGAGCGAGGAGTGCAAAAAAAAAAAAAAAAACAACAACCCAGCCTACAAGGCACGGAGGAGAGAAAGGAGTTTGCGTCTTCATGAGGTTCCACTGAGATCACATTTTCAACAAAGCATGGCAGTAATCGCTTTTGTGTGTTTATTACAAAGTTACTCTCTTAAAACATTATGACAGACCAAGAACTCCAATGGATAGAGGGAGAGAGAGAGAGGGATAAAAAATGGCTTCTTATCTAAGCAGAAGCCAAACAATAGGGGAAACAAATTAAGATCAGAGTGAACTGAGAAGTGCAATAATACATTTTCTAGCCCTTTGTGTTTTTTTTCCCGTAGTCCTTTCTTCTGAGTGGTTAGTATGTGAATGTAATTACAGAAAGAACTGCTGCTAATCAACTGCGAATGGTATCCATTAATTAGTCTATGCCCTGGAGAGAGAGCTGGGAATCAGCAGCAATGTTAACAGTGTTATGCACCAATGAGAAAGGGAGCCAGGAGCTTTAGCAGCCACTGAAGCAGGTGGGTTGTGCTGTCGTTTGGCCTCCGGTGCCGTCGTACCTGGAGCTTCCCCACTAAACTGTATCTGACTCAAACGCTGGGAGTTTAAATGTTTGTACAAATACAAACAACAAAATCATAAAGACACTCCTCAGATGAGAATCTTCTGTCAACAGTTGGCACCCCTTCATTTCCCAGCAGAGTGTAACTTTGAGACATGACATGGCTGGGTTACGTTAGCCACTCGGCTGGTAATTAACCTTATGCTGGGCTTATCTTAGAAGTGTTACTGCGTCCTCCTTCCTCTTTTAGATAGCAAATTGAAGTCTCAGAGATATCCTTCTCAATTCAAGCACTAGAACATTGTGCTGATTGTGGGGAGAGATAGTGCTCTGTGCACTGGTGTCTTCTTTCCCTGCATCTTTGTGGACGTGAATAAGATTGTAAAAGAGTGCGCAGACAATTGTTGTTATTGTAAGTCCTACATGACAATTCGGGAATATATACATCAGAAATCTTGGCAATGTTTAATAGAACGGCATGTTTGCTATCCTGTCTGCTGCATGGTAAGACAACATGCTGAGATGCGTTTCTGTATGAACGGCAGCTTTAGCTCAGGTTGTGTGCCCTGGTCTTGGTGACATTAACAGTCACATTTCAACATGCTAACATGCTACGTTGCATGACAGCAGTTCAGTTTCATTAACTTTTCTTGTGATTATAAATCATAAAAGGATGTGTCATCAGAACAACCATCAAACTGAGAGGTACAGTTAAAATACATACTGTTAGCACAGACATTTAGCACATTAGTTTCATTAGAGAAATATAAGCTAGTTAAGTCCGATTGCAAATTAGTGATGTGAAACTCCCTGGGCTCTGTCTGTGTGAGTCATGTTTTATTGTGTTTCCAGGGCCCTTTAAGAGAAGTTCCACATCTCCTCTGAGAACTGTGACTAACATCCCAAGAAATGTCCCCCGCCACTGGTATCAATCTTCACCGTTAAAAGCTGTACCATGTGGTGCAGCAGCTCAGGCTCGAGACCTCAGAGGACGACAAGAGCAGAGTGGAGATTATTATTGTTATTCCCAATACATTTTTTTTTTTTTTAAAGGGAGTGGGGGGCTCATGTTCACGGCAGTGGCAATTGAGTCAAATGCCAGATGAAATTAAGCATGATTGGAGGGACCATGCAGCTGACGGTGAGGGACTACGCTAAAATGGGTCAGTGCAGACAATGAAGGCTCTGTAATTAAAATGATGTGACGAGCTAGATGAGAGATCTGCTAGACATGTGAGGGGCAAACAATTGTGTGTGTGTGTGTGTGTGTGTATGAATAAGTATTTTGGAATCCAATTTGTAACATAGGAGGAAAAGTTGGAAAATCTGAGGAGTTGAAAAAGTTAATTTCTGCAAAATAAATGCCGCTGTAACACAATAAAATCAAGTTTAATTGTCCAGTAAAGTACTATAGCAGACAGCTGAGGGAAGCCATAGAAAAGATGGATTTTAAAATAGCTGTGGGTAGAAGGCTTTTATTAGATTGGATTTACAGTTAAAGGTGGTGTGTAATGTGAGTTGCACTAAGAGCCAGACATGGCTACATGGCAGAGCAAACACTGGGCACTCAGTGTTTTTATTTCGCCTTCTGCACCACCAGCACATTTCTTAAATAACTGTTTAACAGGGGAGAATTAAGAGCTTACATGGAGCCTGATCCCAACTTGAAAAGACTCCACTGTCTGCATGATCGCAGGCAAACAAAAAAGAGAAACCTGGCCGTGTATGAGATGAATTGTGAGTCATAGTACTAGCTTTTTCTTTGTATTCTAGATAAAGATAAATCTTGAAATCACTAAATACTTCAGTTGAGTTTTGCATTATCAGGCAAAGAAGCTACAATCACATTTTACAAACAACAAACGTCTGCATGCATAACCTCAATTTTTGTTTTTCTTACTGCAGTGCCAGTGTAATTTTGATGCTTCCCCACCTTTTAAATCCCAGTCCAGGAATATTTGTATGAAAGAATGTCCGGTGGGAAATAAGGTGTTTTACAGCTATTATAGCAAACAAAATTATTTCAACCTCCGGGCGAACACAATATTGCACTAACGTGACCCCATCTCACCCCCCATATGATGGAGTAACCACCACACAGATCCTATCAGTAAACATGAACTGGACAACCCAGAATACAAACCTGAAGAGCCTGTGATAGCACAGCTGCCAGCTCTGCATGCATACAAATGGAAAATAAACATGCAGGACCTATACATTCACATCCAAGCATTGAAAACTGCTTTGTCAATGGTGATTGTATGATAATGCATAACAGGAAAGATGCATAATCACATATATGAATGAAAATGACAGGAGGATTTGTTTCTACTCTGTATTTAAAATAATCAACAGCAGACTGGTCCTTAGTTTTACAGTATGATCAAAAAAGTCATAACACTCAGCTGTCTGTCAGCAGGTAACCCAATTGGACACATTCTTCCTCCCCACTGAAAACCACCAAACTAATTCAATCAAGAGCCCAGGCTTTTCCAAAAACACATCAACTGCTGACAAGTCATTTTACAGTTCAGCTTGAGCTCAGTAATCACAGCCTAGCATGTGTTCTCTGGAACTCGACACTTGTGCTAATATGTTCTCCAGTGGTCCCAATAAAAGACATTGCAAACACCAAATCTCAACCTCCAATCCAGCAAAACTTACACTTGTGGTAGTTTTTCCATGTATTTCTTTAATGTAATTCCTTTAAAAGCTTGGACCACAACCAGTTTCAAGCCTCTATTTCAGCAAACTGCATTGGAGCACCGTTTCCTTCCCTGAAATCCTGGTCAGGCCCTCTGAAGAAGTTATCTTCTTCCACCCCAGGTCCTCCTCACCAAAGACATGCTAATTTAAAACTCAATTCAGCATAAGCACACTGCAGCTGCTCCTCTGGTGGACACAAGGCCCAATCGCGCCCAGCAGGCTGCAATGCATGCAGCGCAGAGTCGATGTATATAGAAACATTTCCTTCTATGTGTGCGGCAGTGAATTTGTAAAGCGACTCCACAACACAGCATGTCCACCCAGTGGGCTCACAACCCATGTTCTGATCTGCAGGTCCAATCGATTGGTAATTCAGTTTAAAGCTAAAATCATTACCCTGCCAGCCCAGTACTGTCTTTCACCATTAAAACAGCAAGTCCTCAGCTACATAAGGTAGCAA